GGGCTACAGCTTCTGACAACACGCGGCCCCCGCGGGCACACGCGTGTGCGGGATCGCCCGCGCCGCTGCCAGCGCCCTCCCCAGAGCCCCCCCCGGTCGGGGATCCGGCCAGGGAGGCGTCCCGCGGGCTAGGGGACATGGGTGACGTGGGGACATTGTGGGGCTGGACCCCTCTGGGATGGGGGTGAGGATGGTCCTGCCCGGCGGAAGGGGTGGAGATGTGGATGCTGCCCCACAAGTATCGGTCCTGCCCCACTGGGATCAATCCTGACCCACTGGGATTAATCCTGTCCCCACAGGTACCGGTCCTGCCCCACTGGGATCAATCCTGACCCTCTGGGATTAATCCTGCCCCACTGGAACCAGTCCTGCCCCACTGAGACCAGTCCTGCCCCACTGGGATCAATCCTGACACACTGGGCTCAATCCTGCCCCACAGGTACCGGTCCTGCCCCACTGGAACCAGTCCTGCCCCACGGGGACCAGCCCTGTCCCACTGGGATCAATCCTGATCCACTGGGATCAATCCTGCCCCACAGGTACCGGTCCTGTCCCATGGGGGACGGTCCCACCTGTCAGACCCCGCCCTGTCCCAGCGTCCCACCACGATTTGGAAGGTCCAGCCCTGCAGGAGCTGTAGGGTCCCACCCTGCAGGGTCCCATGTTCCCCCACAGCGTCTGATCCTGCCCCGTGGACTCTATTCCTGCTTTCCAGCCCCCCATCCTGCCCTATAGGGTCCGGTCCTGCTCCAGACGTTCCCCTCCTGTGCTGCAGGGTCCTGTCCTGCCATCCTGACTCCCTGGGGAGTGGGGTCCCGCCCCACTCTGTGGGGTTTCATCCTACTTTTTGGGGGCTGATACCCCCACAACATCCCATCCTGCTCCACGGGATCCCATCCTGCCCCACGGGATCCCACCCTGCCCCGTGGGATCCCACCCTGTCCCGCACGTCCCCATCGCACTCTGTGGGGTCGCACCCTGCTCTGATCATCCCCGATGGGGTCTATTCCTGCTCCACCAGTCCCAATCCTGCCCCGTGCGGCCCCAGAGGGTCCGGTGCTGCCCCGGAGGGTCCGGTGATACCCCGGAGAGCCCGGTGCTGCCCCGGAGAGTCTGGTTTTGCCCCGGAGGGTCCGGTTTTGCCCCGGAGGGTCCGGTTTTGCCCCGGAGGGTCCGGTTTTTTCCCGGAGCGCCCGGTGCTGCCCCGGAGGGTCCGGTGGCGCCCCGGAGGGTCCGGTGATACCCCGGAGAGCCCGGTGATACCCCGGAGAGCCCGGTGCTGCCCCGGAGCGCCCGGCGCGGGCCGGGCCAGGCGGCCGGAGGCGGGGACGGACGCTCAGAGCGTGCCAAGCGGCAGAGTTAAAAATACCCGCGGAGGCCGTGCCGACGGAAGTGGAGGTGTCGCCACCGGCTGCTCGGGGCCGGGGGGGGCCGGACTCCGGTGTCCCGGCCCCCGCCAGCGACCCTCGTACCCAGCACCGCGACCCCGCCGGGGTGGGCGGCAGCAGCAGCGGCAGCCGGGTCCCGGCCCTCCCCTCCCAAAATCGTGGGGCAGGAGGAGGATCCTCGTCGCCGTCACCCCGGGGGGGGTCACCCCCAGCCCGGCTGCGCCCCCCGCCACCGCCGCGGCCGCGGCGAGGTGGCCTTGGGGAAATGCGAAGTGACAAATGACGCCCCGCGCGCGTTCATGGATGTGACGCGGGGCTGACACCGCGGTCGCACCCGGGAAGAGGGAAGGAAAGGAGGAGAAAATAATAATAATAATAAATAATAAGAAAAAACCGAGCCAAATAACAAATTCCAATCAAATGTTAAAAATAGGTCGCGGGGAAGGAGCCGGAGCCGGTTTCGTTTCAGCCGCGGGTTTAAAGGAGAAGCCCGCGGGCCCGGGGCACCGCGAGAGCCCCGACGGTGGCGGGGGGGACGGAAAGGAGGGAGGGGGCGATGGAGATGAGGGGAAGGGGACGCGCCACCCACGCCATGAGCTCTGCCAGGGCCGTGGGACCCCAGCCCCAAATCCCACCCGGCTGGCACCCCGTTCCTGCCACCAAGAGGGGCCACATCGTCTTCAAATCGCCGCTGTCGCAGCCCTGGAGGGCTCTTGGACAGCCCCGGCTTTCCCGTGGGGGATCGGGGCGGGACCCACCCGGGACCGCTGGGCGTGATCCCGGGAGGGCGGCCCGGTGCCGGGGTGGCCCCGCGGCGGCCGCAGCCGCGGTCCGGGCGGGTCACCGGGAGTTCAGGCCGCCGCTGTCCGTGACCCCCGGGTGGCGGATTTTGGGCCGGCGGCCAGAGCGGGGCCAGCCGCGGGTCATGTCCCTCACGGCCACGCGTGTCCCCGTGGCCGCGGTGACTCGCAGGGAGCGCTGAGGAGCAGCACCCTGGGGACACGACAGCCCCGGGGCCAGCGCCGCGCCCGGCCACCACCGCTGCTGTCCCCGAGAGCCGCGCAGGGACCGGGGGACGCATTCACCGTCCCTCCCCTGGTGACAACAGGGGCAGGGGGTGCCGGGGCGCGGCGGTATTTGGGGAGGGGGCTGTGCCTTTCCAGCAGACCCCCCCTTCGGATGCTCGATCGGGGTGACCCCGAGTTTAACCCCACTTACGGCGCCGGCAGACGCTGTCCCCAGCGCAGATGGGATGTGACAGCCGCCAAGTCCCCCCCGGCGGGCGCTGGCGAGGCGCTGGCCGTGGCGCGGGGGGGTCGGCGAGCCCGGTGTCACGGCGCGTTGGCTCCGTCACCTCCCGCAGCGGGGCGGCGGGGCCGGGCGGCCCGCGGCTCCCCGGGGCCCGGCGGCGCTCGTCGCTCCGCAGCGGCCGTGATGGCGCTGGGCACATGGCAGCCGGGGCCGCGCTTGTGCGGGCTCCGCGTCCCCCCCGAGCTGTCAGCTGAGGCCGCCGTGGACAGGGAGGGAGCCGATCCCACCACGGGCACCGGGGACACCGCGGTGGCTCGGCCAGGAGGGGACACGGCGCGGCGTCCCCCAGGCCGCGGTGTCCCGGCTGGGAAGGGCAGGAGGTGCGCGGGCACCGCGGGTGCCACCACCGCTGTCCCTGTCCCCGAGGTGTGGAAACCTCCAGGAAGAGCATCTGCGAGAGGACAGGAGATGCTGGCACTGCTGCGGGACAGGGACAGTGGGGACAGCAGGGCAGTGACAGGCGGGGGGCAGGAGAACAGGGGGGGCACAAGGAGCAGCTCCGCTCGGGGTGTGAGCACCCCAGGGTGAGGCAGGGACAGGACTGAGGCACCTGGGAGTGATGTGGGCACCCTGGAGGGATGCTGGCACCTGGAACACAGCTGGATACAGCTGCCCAGGGGTGTTGCTGGCACCTGGGTGATGTTGGCACCTGGGTGATGCTGGCACCTGGAACGCAGCTGGATACAGGGATGGTGCAGGAACCCCCAACCCTGCTGGACGCTGGTGCCCAGGGGTGACCAAGGGACCCTGGGGTGATGTGGGCACCAGGGTGATGGTGGCATGAGGATCCACGGTTAGATGAAGGTACCCAGGGGTGACGAGGGGACACTGGGGCGATGTTGGCACTGCATTTCCAGCCTGGATACAGGTACTCAGGGGTGATGCTGGCACCAGGGTGATGCTGGCACTGCATTTCCAGCCTGGACACAGCCACCCTGGGGTGATGTTGGCACCAGGACCCACAGTTAGATGAAGGCACCCAGGGGTGACAAGGGGACACTGGGGCGATGTTGGCACTGGATGTTGGACCTGAGGACCCTGGGGTGATGCTAGCACCAGGGTGATGCTGGCATTGGATTTCCAGCCTGGACACAGCCACCCATGGGTGATGCTGGCACCAGGACCCCCAGTTAGATGAAGGCACCCAGAACGACCTGAGGACCCTGGGGTGATGCTGGCACCAGGGTGATGCTGGCACCAGGGTGATGCTGGCAATGCATTTCCAGCCTGGACACAGCCACCCATGGGTGATGCTGGCACCAGGCACCCAGCTGGATGAGGCACCCGAGGTCACCTCAGTGTGACACGGGCACCCTTGGGCGGTTTGGGCACTCTGGGGGGATGCAGGCACCCCGGGGAGGGGCTGAGCTGCCAGGCTGAAGCGCAGCAGCGCCGGCCCCTTTGCAGAAAAGCCGGGCTGAGATCCGAGCCCCGGAGCCAGAGGAGCTGTCCCCAGGGTGCGGTGGCAGCTGGGGGGGGGTCCCGGGGGGAGCCTCCCCCCGAGGGCATCCCCTCCATTTCTTATAAACGCCTCTGGAGCGGCTCTGCCATGACACGGCAGCTCTGGGGGCTGTGGTTAAACCCCAGGGCTCCGCTTTGACTCAGCCGGATCCCCCGCAGCCAGGGGCCTTTCGGGGCGCCCACGGCAGGAAAAAAACGCTCACCCGGGCACCAGAGCCGGGCACTTCCTCGCCGAGCCGTTTCCTATAAACCCCGACGGAGGGGACGCCGAGGTGCCGCCGTGTGCCCCGAGCCCAGCTGGGGGTCCCTGGAGCCCCCCTGGATTCGCTGCTTTGGGTTTGTGCTGGCAGGTGATCCCTCTGGAAGGACAAAGGGAATGAGGGAATGGGATTCCAGAGGGATCTCACCTCAGAGGACATCAGAGAATCCCCTGAGTGACTCCTGCAGCCAGGGGGACCAGGACAGTCCCACCCCTCCAGAGCACCCTCGGTCCCCGTGTCCCTCCCCCCTGCAGGGGACAGCGGGGCCCGAGCAGTGAGAATTGTTTCGTTTTTTCCTCTAAATGATAAAAACACGGAGAAAAGGGGGGAAAAAAAACCCGAAACCCAACCCAACTGAAAGCTGGAAAAAGAAACCTTAAAGGTGCCCAAAATAAGAGGGGGTTTTGCTGGGAAAAACAAAAGAAACCCATGAAGTTATCACCTAGGAAATGGTGAGGTGTGACCCACTGGCGTGGGGACGCATGGGACACAGGGGACATGGGGGACACAGGGGGACACAGGGGACATGGGGGACACAGGGGGACACAGGGGACACGGAGCCAGGCGTGTCCCACCAGGAGTGGGGGGCACAGCCGGGGTGGGAGGGTGCTGCGCACCCCTGGGTGGCCCTGGGGACAGTGCCCTGTGCCACTGCTGGGGACAATTAGAGGGGACAATCCCCCGGGGATGCTCCCACCGCCCTCGGGACAGGCGGGAGGTGACAAACCCCGGCCCCTGTCACCGCAAGGAGGCCCCGCAGCCCGGCCCTGTCACGGCTGAGGCAGGTCCGGCTCGTCCCTTGTCGCCGCAGCTGGCACAGCCAGGCCACGCGGGGGACCTGCCGGCTCCGGCCGGACTCGGGACGCCACCAAGAGCCACCAAAGCCACCTTGCCCCACGCCCCGCACCGTGGGGACAGCGGGGCCGCATCCCCGGAGCCCCTCGGGGCGGCTGAGGGGGGCTGCGGGGTGGCTTTGGGGACACTGTGGGGGTGGCATCGCGGTGGCCGCGTGGGGAGGACACCCCCGCCGTGGGACGGTGCTGTCACCGAAGGCACAGCCCAGCGCTGCGGTCGGCAGCTCCCCCGGCGGGGCGCAGCTCGGGGGGGTCACAGGAAATGGGGCCGCAAACGCCCCCCCCCGGGCACCCCCGCTTCCCTCCGCGCTGGGCAGTGCGAGGCGGCGGGGTGGGAAAGGGAAACTGAGGCACGGCGGCAGCCGTGGGAGCCGCTCCCACTCGCAGTGGGGTGGGCTCAGAGTCTCCCCACGGGGACGGGGGGGTCCCCACAGGTGACAGAGACGCGGGGACATCACCCTGCTGGCGGGAGGTGCCAGCGTGGCACCGAGCGACGACCACCGAGCACCCCGGGACCCCCCATGAGCTGGGGCACCCCCAGGCAGCGGCTCGGGGGTGCCGGGGCCCCCCAGGCTCCGGCGAGCATCGCGGGGACGCTGCTGCAGCAGGTGACACCTCCTGAAGGGACGCGGTTTTGGGGTCCCCGCGGTGCGGGGGGAGCCGGGCGGGTCCTGAGTCAGCGGCAGCCGCCCCCGGGGGAGGCGGTGCCGGGACGGTGCCGGGATGAGTAACGGCAGCGCCGTTTGGCATTTATCACGTGATTTCAAAAAAAGAGAGACAAAACCGGGGGAAAAGGCGGGCGGAGGGAGAAGGGGGGGGCCCGGCACCCCCGGACCGCGGGCAGGCCCCGCTGCGCCCCCATCCCGGTCCGAACTGCGGGACAGTCCGGTCACGGCCCCGCCGCACGCGGGTGCCTTTGGGGACCCGACCCTGCAGCATCACCTCCCCGGGGGGGTCACCGTGTCCCCCCTGTGCCCCCTCCCCGGCTCTGCCTCTCCCTCCGGTCCCCCGGAGCTGCCGGTGCCCAGCGAGGGGCGCGGGCGGTGGGCAGGGGCTGCTCTTCCTGCCCGTGCCCGGGCAGACGCGGAGATGAGGCGGCGATAAGGCTGCGGCACCGCGCCTTATCTCCTTCACACCATCGGCCCGCGGCACCGGGAGCCGCCCTCGCACCCTGCTCGGGGCCGGGCCGGGCCCGGAGAACCGGG